GTGAAAAGTTACCTTGCCGTAATAATTCATTAAATAATTTTGACAATTTGCAATTTATGAATTCATTCTAACACCAGGCAAAATAATATGTTTTTTTTTAAGATACGGTAATTGAAGAGCAGACTTGTCTAGAAGCAGGACTAATTAATACAAGCTTCAGACAAGGCAAAGAAGACACTCGTGATTTTTCTTTAGCTTTTCTAAAACATAAAGACTTAGCTCTATCCACTTATATAACAGAGGAAGCTAATAATTCCAAATCTGACACGGGAGACATGTCTCACACTGTATGTTACATGAATAGTATTTGCAATAAAACAGCCATACAAAAGATGACTTTTTAATTTTGTACCACTGTGCAAATCACTGCACTTATTTTCAAGGCTGATTAGATGGCATTGGGGAGAGCAGGTGAAAAGGAGCCTACATGTGAGCATTCAATTAATGTAACTTTTATTAAAAGAACATTATGGTGGCAGAATCAAACCCCCAACTGTTCTCTGTCCTCTCGAGCAGATAAAAAGGAAAAGAAGCCCTACTGTTTAGAGGGAGAAGATCCTGTGGATAGTCCATCACTATTTTGCTTTTGCTCAGTATTTGACATTACCAGCAGACTTCCTAACAGTAGTCTCTGAAAGATGAAAGCAGACTCTCACTGGGAATTCCACACAAATGGATTAATTTGTGTCGCCATTTTTGGCATGTCGCCATGGATACGGCCATCCGATGGCCTCGGTGCAGCTGTGGGTTGATTGACGGTCCATTCACAGCGCAAAGCTTTACAAAACCAGTAACATGAAAGAACACTCATTAGTGGACAAAGACCTTACTTACACGTTTGGGTGATGCTTCAAAGACTGAATGTTACCTCTCAGTAAATCTGACCTTCCTATCAACATCACCAATGAAAGTTAAAATTACACCACGAAAGAATATATTCAAATATATTTATTTGATGCCTAGCTTTATTTCGCTTTGCCTCAACTCTGGCTAAATGACAATGGAATTGAAAACAAACCTAAAAGGGTCTGTGTTACAAATCTTACACTTTCTAAAAATTAAAACAAAAAAAAAAAATCAAAGAACCGAAAGCCATTTCTCATTATAAACCTAGAAACTGGAATATATTTAGAGCAATAAAAGGTAATAATTCCCATCATTTACTATAAAGTGGAAAATCTGCCTTCTGCATGGATAGCATATTGGGAAATGCTGACATTTTACACTGTCACAAACACAAGAGTTCAAAGATGCTGTTTCTTTCTCTGTAATTAAACTTACCTCATGAGACTCCAAAGCTGCGTGGGAGGGAAGTGCCCCACTCTTATGTACTCAAGGTAATTCTGTCAACTCGGGTTGATCACTCCAGGTATCCACTCTCTCAATTCAGGAAGCTTCCCTCCCCACATGACCAATTCTCTTTTCCCAGGGTGTGATCTGGGATCCCGAGGTGGCTTATCCATTGCCCCATCATCAAAGGGAAGGAGACTCTCTTACGCTCACCATGACCTCACTGGCCTTCCAGACCCATCCCCCCGGCCTTGAGCACTGGCCCTGTCTTGCTGCCTCCTCACTGATGTTGACATCCCTACCTGGCATCCAGTCATTAGGCCCATGTTCCAGCATGCCCCTCAGCCTCTATGCCAACCCTCTGTCTGTCTGCTCAGCCACTTTGTATACCTGTTGGGGTGCTCAGAAATGTGTACCTGCTTTCTGCATGGTGCCTCATCAGATGGGTAAACTACACACGAAGTTGATTTTGACACTTTGATGTTCTTTAGCTATGAGTCTCCCTTTATTTCTATCAAAGGGCCAGAAATAACAACTCTTTCAGGACTTTTAGCACTCAAGATCCCCGCTGTTTTCCTTGGAATCCGAATCAAAAGGCATCGTTTGGCATGTTACCCATGTATAATGTAAGCTAATCCATCAACATGACAGCATAAATGAAAATGAGATCCTACCGTCCTCCCCACTGCTGACAATTTCAGTAGGATTTACTATTCTGTCCTCTTTTTTTGGTTAGTGTTAAATTAGGCAGAAACACCAAATCAAAATCCGCATTTTGGAATTTCTCACTTAGAAATATTTCATGTGAATTAAAATTTTAGCACCTGAGTGAGAACACCGATCAACTGAGAAATGTAGGAATATTTGCCCACATTTGTGCAGGTGCACCCTAAATTGAAGTATTCTTTGTTAAAACAGTCTGATGAATCTATCCTAAAGCAGCCAAATTAGGTAAAACTAATGTGAATCACACATGGGACTATGTCATGTAGGTAAAATGTGGATCTGGATGAGATATAAAAGATTTATGTTCTATGTCTTTTTTTCTATGTTGCTATTTATAAGCTATCCAAGTTCATTACTCTGGGGTATACAAGGACACCAGAGAGGAAGGGGGAAGCAGCTGGGGAGTAGAATCCAAGCGATGAAAAGGAAGGAAAATTAATGAGGGGGAAAAAAAAAAAACCTCCTAGGTGAAAGAAACCTCATAGCAAAATAAAGAGTATCAGGTACATTTCCAAAAGTGAGTAGGTAGTGGGCAACACAGAGAAATGTAGTTTAATTGTCTGGTTTGCACCTGTTGTAAAAGCTGGTTTCTACCTCCTTTCAGATAATAATGATAATATCAGGTCTATTCCTTTCTCCTATATTTGTGCTTGAAATTCAATGGTAGTTAACTTTGAGATGATACTTTGATCAGGAAAGAAGAAAAGAGCCTTTGTATTCAGTTTTCTGTGAAGCCTCAATCCTAAACCTTTGAAAGTGAACAGTGGCCAGAGAGAGGGCAAAAGTCCCGGGCCTTAAAAATATTAAATAACAATGAATAAAGACAAAATGAACGACAGCCATTTGGGAAAGATTATTTCATTTATGAGAATCATTGTTATAGATGGCGAGGTAGTAGACACAGGGTTTTTCTTGGGCCTGATTTTTTAAATACATGCAGTTAGGGAACAGAAGTGAATGGGAAAATTGGTCTTAAAAGAGAATTAGGCCGAATCTTTCATTTTAATAAACCCGGAGTCTGGGAATCTCTGTGTGTCCTTTAAAAAGTCTTAGTTCACTTTTCTACATCTTAAAGCTCTTGGGTGCCAAACAGATTTCAAGCAAAATAAAAATTGAAAAATATAAATCCCCGGGGAGAAAGTTACAAATTAAGTATAGAAATATATTGATCTATATTAATTTTACTCCTGGAAATTTCTGATTGTTTTCACCTGTAGTAAAGGAGCATTTTAGTTATTTCAAGCTTTTAAATCTGTTTGTCCAAATGAACATTATGAAAATTCTCGAAGACCTTGCATGTCATTTATCAAAACAGAACAGATTGATATCTGGCTGCAATATCAATAGTGACTCCCTAATGTCATTAATTTATTCACAACGAACATGACCACATTATTGACTGAGTTTGTAATTTTAAAGATAATTGTAACAAAAATTTTAGAACTTGTTGATGGCAACCCCTTCAGCAGTCAGGAGACAATAAAATATAAAATATAAATATAAATTGAATAATACAATTCCATGGTGACCTATATTCATGAACACTTTTTAAGTTAAAAATAAGGATTTTAAAATGCTTTGCCAACATGGAAGGCTTATGGGGGATGAAGGCCACTTACAACCTGAGAAAGAGCAAAGGTGATAAAGAGAAACGTCACTCGCCATCACAGCCAAGGGCAGGGATGGGAACTGACGATCTCAATTGTCGTCAGAGTGCCTCACTTCCATTAAAATATCAGAGCAACAAACTTCTCAGAAACGCCTAATTTATATTTCAGAGTACAATAATACACATATGATACAATCGAGGGGGAAATTTGACATGGAGTTTTTAAACGTAATCGTCCGTAAGTAATTACAGTTTATGTCTCTGTAGAATTCTACTCTCTGCCCTACAGTTTTCTCTTAATTGAGTACTTGGCTTTTTAACTTTGAACTTCACAGTTTCTTTCTTTTTCTCTGCCAGTCACATTTTACTTCCTATTGATTTTTTTTTTTTTTTTTAAAGCAGCAACTATATTTAGTCCAGATAGAGTAACAGGGACTAACTTTTCTTGAGTAGTTACCACAGACCACACACTCTGCTCCAAGCTTCACATACTTGATCTCACTTGAACCTGTACCTGGAGTGTTAGTATCCCTTTACAAATAAGCAAGCTGAGATCCAGAGAGGTTAAGCAATTTGCCGAAAATCTCAAAGCTAATAAATGGCTGAGCCAAGACATGAATCCATTTTGGTTGTACTTACCACTTTCAGACAAAACTCTTCAATGTTCTAAGAGCCTTGTTGCATGCTCTATTTTACTAATATGAGTCTACAACTTTACTGATAAACAGGTTTTCATACATTGAATTTAGGCTAAACTAAATGTGACTGATTTAAGCTAAAGTAAATCTGAAAGTTATTTTTTAATCAATTAAGGTCAAAAGGCAGCAAGGGAGAATTTTCTCAAGAGGCTTTCAAGTATCTGGGAGCTAAGATGTAGAGAAATGTAAGCATACAGCACTCAGGCTCAGAGTGAACCCAACAGCAACAAAGGGAACACACCTGTGCTGACAGCGCATCCTTCCCTTGGAGCCAGGTGGCAGGGAAGAGGGTGTCATGATCTTACCCTTGCCCTTTTTCAGTTTTCTATTCCTGCTCAAGTCTGGACCACACTCACATCTTGCCTCCTCTATTCTCTTTCACGACATTGACCCAAAGCAGGAACACAATTTTTTTCTCTCTACTTCCCCAAGCATTACCAGAGCCCACTGTGTGGGACAGCATGTACCACACAAGACGATCAGAGAGGGTCAGCGGGGTATAGCTGATGTCCTAAAAGCAAGAATGATGGTGTCCTCTGATGCAGATCAGCTGCATTTCCAAGCTCTTTTCCATTCCTTACTATCCACCAGAACTACAAGGGCCCCAATGAGTTTTCTATGCTGAAATCGGCCAGTGAGGTTCCTTTCTGCCTCCAACCTTCTCAGATCACACTTACCTCCCACTTCAAGCTGCTACAGGGCATCATTGTGCTCAGGGCAACCTGCAGAGGGGATTCCAGAACACTCTGCCTGAAGAAAACAGATACAAGGAGCATAATTTAAATGTCAGCCACATTTTACCAGAATGTGGTCAGATGTGTTTTAATCATAACAACAAGAGAGAAGAATGCATTTCAGGAATGGAAAGATAATTCAATATAATAATCACATTTTCTTTTTAAAAATATCAACAGAGTTAAAAACCCTCCAGAATAGACTGGAGATTAGTGGTCAACAACAAAATTATATATAAGTAAGTAATTCAATGCTGCTTTTTAGAAAAACTGTTTAAAAAATAATAGGAAATAATACCAATAAAAGTAGCAACAAGAGATATGAAATACTTAAGTAACAGTGTGCAGAACTTCAGTAAAGAAAATTAACTTTATAGAGGGACTAAAAAAAACGCACCAAGTAAATTAAAAGACCATGCTTATGCATGGAAAGATTCAGAGGTACGAAGATGTTCATTTCCTCACCGTGACTCTAGAATTGGAATGCCCTATCAATCAAATATCAAACAAAGGGTATTTATTTTTTCTGATGGATTTTCTTTTTTTATTTACAATGAACATGATTTGATAATTCGTACGGAAGACATACGTGAACATATATTTATGTGAACTCCTCTGCAAGATAGTAGAAATAAACAGAATGACAGAATGAAATAATGAACAGAAAAGATAGTTCCGACTCTTATGGAAGTTTTATTTATAGTGTGAGAGGTAGAAAGTTAAAAAATACACAGATGGGGCACCTGGGTGGCTCAGCCAGCTAAGCGTCTCACTTCAGCTCCAGTGCTGATCTCACAGCTCACGGGTTCTAGCCCCATGACAGACTGTGCTGACAGCTCAGAACCTGGAGCCTGCTTCACATTCTGTGTCTCTGTCTCTCTCTCTGCCCCTCTTCCCTCTCAAAAATTAACATTAAAAAAAAAATTTTTAAAGACACAGATGAAAAAAATTACAGAATGTGATGTATAAACAGGACACTAAAATAATGGATCAGACCTAATTGGACAATAAAAAGCTCCCTGGGAAGTAAACTTTAAGCTGTACCAAAGAACAGCTAAAGACAGATATGTACATCTAGAAAGACTGAAAATATAGACCATAATGTTAAGAGTGGTGAGAGATATTAGTCATGTTTTCTTCTTTACATGTGTTTAAAATTTCTGGGATAAACTTAAAAAGTTCAAAGAAAAAAAGATTCATTTTTAAAATAACTTGAAACCAAAGACCACAGCAACTGTTGTGAGTTTTTCTAGAAAGCCCTTTATAGAAGCCATTGGCTGAACATCTATTTATTACTCCAGTTTCTTTTATTTTAAAAAATGTATTTAACCACTGAATTGATATAGATAAGATGAATGAAAGCCATTTTCCCAGAGTCACAAACATACTCCGAGTACTTTGAGTACTGAAATACCTACAGTCTTCATTTCAGCAATTTATATAATCATGTTCTATCTTTATATAAAATTGGTGAAAATACAGAACATTGATACTTATCTGATTTTTTTAAATATTATTTTAAATTTCATGGGTTTTTTTTTTTTTTTAAGTTTATTTGAGAGAGACAGAGTAAGTGCACACAGGGGAGAGACACAAAGAGAGCTAAAAGAGAATCCCAAGCAGGCTTGGACTGTCAGCACAGAGCCTGACGTGGGGGCTTACATCACAGACCATGAGATCACGACCTGAGCCCAACACTCAACTGAGTTGACTCAACTGAGTCAGGCACTCAATCAACTGAGCCACCCAGGCACCCTTCATGATGTTATTTTTTTAAAAAATCCATGGGCCAGTTAGACACTAGAAGAAGTTCTATTAGTCTCTTTTAATTTATTACTTAATTTCATTTCTACTGATTTTTTTTTTAATTATTTCTTTTAGAGAGAAAGAGAGAACGCGTGTGTGTACATGTGGAGGAGGGGCAGAGAGAGAGAAAGGGAGAGAGAGAATCCCAAGCAGGCTCTGTGCTACCAGCACAGACTCTGGTGTGGGGCTCAATCTCATGAACCGTGAGATCATGACCTGAGTTGAAATCAAGAATCAGATGCTTAACCAACTGAGCCACGCAGGCGCCCCAATGTTTTTCATTTTTATAGGTGTTCTGAATTCATTTTTTTTTAATTTAAGGAAAGTATGGCAAGAGGAACACACCTTTCACAAGTTAGAATAAACTGGAATTATTGTTGATTTCTAGTATCTTCTATATCTAATATCTAGCCAATGTGAGCCCACTTACCTATTTTTTTCCTTCAAAATATGGAAAGTTGAAAATATTGCCATGTAAGATATAAAGATAATTTTAATAAGCATTTTGATACCTACATAAACTGCTCTGGTTTAAGCTTTTCATTGGGTAATACTGAAATCAGTATAACTATCAAGAGATTTTTTTTTTTCATAATTTACTTATTCTCAATCTGAAATATACATCTTTTTGCCTTCCAAATGGTGTAGTTAAATGACTATTTTTAAAGATGGTGAATTATTTAGATTTCACGTTATACTAACATCTCTTCAGACATAATCTCCCATTAAATAACTGGTGAGCCTTCCAAATAAATTCAATGAGTTAAATCTCAGACACGATAAATAAATTTCAGCATTAGAAATGCATGAACCCATCAAAGGCCTGCTTCAGGGGACTGTTCTAGAGCAGTAATTGGCAAGTGGTATGAAGCAATCAGTTAGATGTTCCCAAGGGCAAGTAGGAGCGAAAGCATTGTGGTCCTGGCTCAAGGACACCCCAGATGCTCAATCCATCATGAGCAGAGTCCACTTTGTTTTACACGACACTTGTATACTTCATCAGGAGAAGTGCTAATCAACATGCAATAGCTTTTATTTCAACATTTAATGCTTATACAGGGTAATTCACTGGTAGCTCTTCCAAATAGTTTCTGGGACAGGGAAGAGAATCCAGAATAAGCAATGCAAGCCTGTTGCCCAACCAATGACCTTGATCTTGAGCTAGAGTTACTTTGCGATGTAGATGTTGGAGATGGTTCATTTCGTATGTGACTTCAATCCAAACCAGCTCCCTAAAATGAGGTGAAAATGAAACTTGAGATTCCAAAGAACCAAAGGAGGAGCAAGATATAATGTGTGCTCCTGCTAAATGCTGTTCAGTAGAGCTATTGGCAGGATTTTAGTTTTCTCCTCTGGTATACGTAGGGGCTCACCTTCTAAGAGTAAAGTAGGAAAAAAAAACCAAAAGACCATGTGGCATTTATATCCAAATTCAAATATCTTCCATTCACATTTGCAATTAAGACTCTCAACAAGGATCATCAATCCCAAGAGATGAGAGAGTTCTATCATGAGAGACTTAACTGCCAGTGGTTATCCTTTAAGATATGGAACAAAAATTGTCTTTCAAAATCCTTGTGCCAAATGAGACAGAGGGAAGCAGCTGGCAAAATGAGGTAAAGAGCACAGAAGAGCTTGCCGGAGATGTGTTGTTAAATTTGTTGATACTTTAGTTTGAATCTACGATCTACAAACTTGCCCAGTTATCTTAGCTGTTTTCCAAGTCAACAGAACCTCAGATGGTCTTAACTTAGAGCTTGTACCTCCTCTGTCTCAAACTTTCTGGAAAACATCTGGAAAACATCAACATCAAGCCCTCAACCACAAAGCTTCATACAGGGTGTGAACATGACAATCACTTCATAGGTATGTGTTCACTAAATCTGGGTCCCCTGTGACCCCATTTATTTTGTTTGCTTCTTTAAAGATTTGATGGGGAAACATGGATGGAAATAGGAAAAAATATCCCTAGGGTATTATTTATTTTATTCACCAAAATAGATAACGGAGAAAAGAAGAAAAACTGTAAATATATCTCAATCTCATTTTTTAGGAAAGGTCTATCATACTTGATCTGTGAAGGAAGCATTGGATTTAAAGAAGCAATATTCTAGGAGAATTCACAATTCTCCTTCCCATCATGCCTCATAGCAAACTATCTACAAAGCATACTGAAGGAAAAGAGAGGCTTTATGAATAGGGTGCCTAAGGTTTCATCTGCCTGAGAGAAGGCTTACATATAAGAGGTAGGTGCTTTTAAAAAGGAGCGAGTCAGTGTACACATTTGGGTTGGGAGGACAGACAAGATGTGGACAAGAGGGTAACCTGGTACTGACAACTCAAGGCAAACATACAAAGGATGAGAAGCTCCTTAGTCAGTAATACAGAAGGAAGTATTATCAGTGTGTTGAAGCATTTGAGGAACCAATACATTCTCTTAAAAACAACTGAGAAACCAAAGTAGACTAAATGTCAGTCTGATCTGGCACTTTCTAAATGGCAGTTGCTCTGATATCCACCTCTGTCTCCAAGAAGTACGTATTAATTATAAATCCATCTATGGGGTGTGGATTTACTTCTCACAATGTTACCATGACATATGAATCTGTATCCCCGTTTTTTAGTTTATTTTGTTTTAAAGCTTATTCAGAGAGAGAGAGAATCCCAAGCAGGTCCCACACCCTCAGTACAGAGCCCAGTGTGGGATCCACCCCACAAGAGCCACGAGATCGTGACCTGAGCCAAAATCAAGAGCCGGTCACTTAACCGACTGAGCCACCCAGGCGCCTTTCCCCGTTTTGAACGTGGGGAGACAAACATTCAGTGTCAATATCCTGCCAAAAGCCACAGGGCTGCCAACGCCCAGGCTGACAACAATGGCCGTCATGGCCAATTATCAAGCGTGGCTCCTGAAGGAGGGAAGAACAAGAGGAGGTCGCAGCAGGAGGAGCGACAGAAGAATGTGGATTATTACGTGAGGGACCTTGGGTTCATCTCAAGGTACACCAAACTACTTTCCTTCTTAGGAAAACAGTGTCTGCGTTCTTTCTCAGGATTGCGTGCTCTGCCTGGAAAATACCTCCTCTACCTTTCCACTTTCTCTCTTCACCTGATAACTCATGCTCAGCCCCTCCTTTTTATTTATTATTTATTTTTTTCATCCCTTCCTTTAGAAGGCCTGGACTGGTGCTCTGGGGAGTGTGGTACTCCCATG